GCAGGGCTGGGCACATCCCTTTGTTCCCAGCGTTGGAGTGGCGAGTGCGGCTCGGGTGCAGCCCGGGTGCACGCGCCTCCCTCCCCGGGGCTTGCTGCAGTGGAGACTCGGGAGAGGCAGGAGGTCGGGACGGCGCGCAGCCTCACCTTGGCCCCGATCTGGTTGCCGCACTGGCCGGCCTGGATGTGCACGATCTCCCTCATGCTGGGCGTGTCTGCGAGCGGCTGCGGTACCGGAGCAGGTGGGCCGGGCTGGCTGCGGAGGGTCGCCAGCCCCAGCTGCGGGTTCTTATAGCAGCGCGCGCCCGCCGCGCCCCGTGACGTCACCGCAGGCGACCAATGGGAGGCGCCGCCGCAGCGGGCGGCCCCCGGTTCCGCAGCCTCAGCACCGCGCCCGCCCCCGCCGGCCCGGCCCCCCATCCGCCCACCCGCCGCCCGGAGCTCCAAGGGAGGGACTGGCTCCATAGGACCTGAGGCGGGGGAGCGGTGCCTCCAGGGAGGACAATAGAAGCCCCCTCGGTACCCCGCTCCCGGCTGCCCTCTCGGCTACCCCACCCGGCGGCTTTGTGAAGGGAGACCTTCTTCCTACACGCCTTGAGGGACTGGCTCCCTGTCTATGGCAGGAAAGCCACTTTGAGTTTTGCCGGATCTTTTGAGCTGGTGCAGACCCTGAACCCGCTGAGAAGAAAGCATCCGGGCAGGGCTCGGCAGGGCTCGGAAGGGCTGTGAGCACAGAAGGGTGGGGCGGGTTAGACGTCGAGCTCCCAGCGTCGCCATCCTCTGCAATGGAGGATGCTGCTGCCCCTCCTCCTCCTCCGCAGGGGCTGCCGTGATGATCCGGACAAACCTCGGATATGGGGATGCTCTGTGAACCTGGCAGGCAGCCGCTGCTCAACAAATATGGGTGTCAAGAATCAGCTTTAGAACACGCAAGCCAGGCGAGTGACAGACCTCGCTGGGGCTGCTGGGCAGTGGTTTCTAACTCACTTGCTGATGTCCGTGTCCTGTGTGTGCATGGAGACTGTGTACATAGGGGAGAGGGTCCACTGTCAGAGAAGAGAGGTGGGAAAGAATGAAATGGATGTGCAATAGAGGCCTTATACTAACACACACACACACCACTGCCCTAATCTCCTGGGCTCAGGTGTTATAGTGATACCACCGTGTAATGTTCTTCTGAAATTTCAATAACCACAATGCCACAATGTATGCACAAACCACAATCAGCATTCATTTCACAAAGTGAGCAGAGAGCAGGCCTGCAACACCTGTGTCCAGTCTGTGTGGCTGGGTTCTGTGCATCTCTCTTCTCTCAAGAGAAGCTCCCCAGTTTGGGAAGTCTAGAAATGGGTCTTTTGTTCTCAAGAGATGCCCCTCCTCCAAAATTTGTCATAATGTGGTTTTCTGTGGTTGGTTTCCAGCTGCCTGGAGTCCCTCCCTGTCCCTGTCCAAGGAGTCCTGGATGAGCCTTTAGCTGTGCCTCCTTGAGTTGGCAAGGAAAAAAGCTTTGCAGCATCCTGTAGGCCAGCACCTCCTCCCTAGAGGGCGGGCATCAGGCCAACTAGCTCCTCCCCATCCCCAGAGGTTTCTGGTGCCAGGCTCCAGGCTGACTCACCGTCCTGTCTCCCAGCAAAGGCTGCCCCTGCCGGGAACCAGTTCCCTGCCCTGAGGCCAGCACTTCAGCCTCCACTAAGCCTGTCCCAGGAAGGGGCAAACCGAGTGCTCAGCACCTGTGGAGGAAACCAAGGTGGGCTCTTCAGCAAGAATGGAGGGTCTACGGGTTCCACTGTTCCTCAGCACCAGGCAGCATCGATATTCACCACCCAATATGCCTCCCTGGACCTGTCCACTCCTGACCCCCTGGCCAGACTCACCCCATCCTCAGAGGCTATGCTGCTCAGAGGTTATTCCCAAGCTGAGCACTAACGCCTGCACTCCCAGAAGGGCAGTGCTGGGCACACCCAGCCCTAGCTCCCCCCTTACCATGGACCCCTTTGGGAAACTCAGATGGAAAAGGACGGGCTCCTTCACAGTGTATCCTGGCTGAAAGGACTACTGGGACAGGGCTAAAAAAGGTCACAAATGGTCATATGAAGGATTGGGATGTGGGGTCCTGCCTCAGCTTCAGCTGGGTGGCCTGGACATTGCAGAGTCTTGTCTCTATAGGGTGACTGGGGTGTGGGGGCACCGAAGCTGCTGCTCCTTGCTCTGGGTTGGAGTTTGTAACCATAGAGAGAAATCCAAGAATTATTGGGGTGGGGCTGACTAGGTTCTCTGGGCCTATGGTGACCTCACCTGGGCAGGCCAGTCAGGGTTTCTGGAACTTCCTACACCCCCCTCCAAGACTTGCCGCCTTCTTCTCCCCCATGCCTCCACCCTCAAACTTCAAGCAATTTCTGGAAGGGACCAAGATGGATGTCATGCGTCTGCATCTGAGCACATTTATTACCAGACTGTTTCCTGGCTCTGAGCTCCCAAGCACTGGTCACTGATTGAAAATAATAGCTTCTGATGCAAATAGCGAAGGCATCTGCCAGGGCTATCTGCTGGGGCTGGATTGGCGCAGGCAGACATGTCAGACTGCAGCTCGCTGGTCGCCACTGAGCCTTAGACCTGGCTCTAGACAGGATCATCCCCTGCCTCTTGTGAGGCAGGGAGTTTACTTCCTCCTGAAATAACCACTTCATGGTTGTGGCTGAATATTTCTGGTCATAAAGCCGTTTCTTCTGAGGCGATCTCAGAAGCAGTACTCCTTCTCAGTGGCCTTGTCATTCTTCCATCACAGAGACTTCACCTCCTGTCTGGCGAGTTGGCAGCAAAGATGGGGTGGAGGACAGGCTTGGGGGCTAGTGCCTATAATCCCAGCACTTTGGGAGGATTGCTTGGGGCCAGGAGTTTGAGACCAGCAATATAGTAAGGCCCCATTTCTACCAAACATTTAAAAAAATCAACCAGGCATGATGGTGCATGCCTGTAGTCCCCACTACTCAGCAGGTTGAGGCAGGAGGATTGCTTGAGCTTAGGAGTTTGAGGCTGCAATGGGCTGTGATGATGCCACTGCACTGCAGCCAAGGTGACAGGAGACCCTGTCTCAAAAAAAAAAAAAAATAGTAGTGGTGGGGACTTCTACGGGACTAGGGAGAGCATGGGTTACTGGAGTTTTAGGCTCCACATCGTCCTCAGCCTCCTCCTCCCCACACCTGCTGTTGAAGTATCCTTCCTGGAGATTCACATTCATCCCTCTTTCTAGTCCCAGAAGGTCTGTGCTTCAACTTCACAGGTCATTTAGTTCCAGGCCACATAATGTCACCACCTCCCTCTGCCCAGCCAGTGGTCTGGAGGCCAGAAGCTGCCCCCTGCTCACCAGGAGAACAGCAGCACCTCCTTGAGTGTCTTGCGGAGCTCCTGGCTGCGGAAGGCATAGATGAGAGGGTCAACAATGGCATTGCAGATGATGAGGGCCAGGAAGAGTTTGAAGTTCTTGAAGACACAGCTGCAGGTCGGGTGCTGGGGGCAGACAGCGATGAGTGTGAGGTGCAGGAAGAAGGGGCCCCAGCATAGCAGGAAGACTCCCAGCAGAATGGTGAGGGTGGCAGCACCCTTAAGACCAAAGCCCTGCTGGACCAGGTGCTGCCTCTTGTGGAGCCGGGTGATGCCTTGGACATGCTGGCATGCTTGGGTGAGCATGTGGGCATACAGCACAGCCATGAGGACCAGCATAGTGAGGAAGAAGACCACAAGGCAGAGCAGGACAGCTGTGCGGTCATAATAGGCAATGAAGAGGGTGCTGGAGAGGATGCTGGCTGCCCAGACAGCTGCAGTGGCCCACTGTGCCCGTGATAGAGTCACGATGCTGTGATATCGCAGTGCATAGAAGATGGAGATGTAGCGGTCCATGGCGATGGCACCCAGAAAGCAAAGGCTGGACACCATGGAGCTGCAGATGAGCACATCGATGACATTGTCCAGCTGCTGCACCACGGTGGCCTGCACGGCCAGGGCACCTGCCTCCAGCAGCAGCATGACAGCCGTCTCCAGCACATTGCTCACGCTCACTAGCAAGTCAGACAGGGCCAGGCAGCAGATGAAGCAGTACATGGGTGAGTGCAGGTTGCGGTTTTTGGCGATAGCAGCCACCACCAGCATGTTTTCCACCAAGCTCACCAGCCCCAGGCAGAGGAAGAGTCCATCCGGGACAGACACCTCCAGGCACTGGGGTCCTGACTGGTTGGCAGCCAGCCCAAGGCTAGGAGTAGCCATGAGGGTGGAGTTCAGGGAGCCCAGCAGGCTCCTCTGGGACCCCTGTGCAGGCATAGTCCCGTCCAGGGAGCAGAAAGGGGCCGATAAAGGACCCCAAATTCAAACTAGTGCCCACCCTCCAGGCATCCTACTCAGCTCATGGTGCCTGCCTCATTCCATCTGGGCACCCCCAGATCTACCCTCACACTCACCCTCTCCCTGGCTGGACACTTCCTGGCCAGAACCCTGAGCTCTGTGGCATTGGCCTTCTGGGCTCAGGGAGTCTTACTCCTGATATGAACAAACCCAGCCCTCCCCTCCTCTCCCTGCCTCTTCTCTGGAGACTGCTCAGGTTGGGGCATTTCTATACCTCTCACCTCCTGTCTTCTCTGTCACTTGCCTCTGCTAGCTCTGCCACCTCTTGCCTCCCTGGGCCAGGGATGGGCTGAGGTCCTGGGAAGAATGGAGTCTTTCTCTGTAGCTCTAAAGTCATCCTCAGAGCCCCTCCTCTCAAGGGCAGCCACATGATGGGCGTGTGCTCTGGGTGCGAAAGCGCCCCACTGCACCCGCCTGCCACCAGGTGGCGTGCCTGGCACCCAGGGGGCTCTGAGAGCCACCTCCTTGGTTCTTGTGCACAGTTTGACTGTCTCCCCTTTGCATTCAAAGTCAATACAGTCTGGCCCAATGTCCCTGGCCTGGTCACCAGCGTCCAGGCACCTCGGACCTGCCCATGCATGCCCATCTTCAAAGCTCCTCTCTTCCAGAACCATCTCCAACATCTTCTAGAAGCTGTCCTTACCCCCAACTCCCCCAATCAGTCACTGTAGTCAGCACCCCCAGCCCCCATCTTCACTCCGTATCAGAAGCTCCCTGAGGACAGAAGCATCCTCCACTTCCAGCAACTGAGTGAGCTTTGTTGGAGCTGCATGACACTGGGGGTGTGAAGCTGGGCAAAGGGTGCTAGGGCCCCAAGGTCTCCTCTTAGATGTTAATGCCTTAAGATACTCCTCATGCTGCTCTGGTCCCAGCTGCAATGCTGGGTGGGGAATTCTTCTTGGGAGCTGGCTGGAGAGAGAGTGTCCTGGTGGCATCTTCAGGACCCTTCAGTCACCTCTTGCTCTTGCTTATCCCCACTGGAGCACCCCTGATGCAGCTGCCCCCTGCAGGGGTGCCCCCATTTCTGCTGCAGAAAGGTCTCAAACTAGGAGCCCCATCAAAGCAGACCTGTTGCCTCCAGCCTTGGTGGGCTGACAGCCGCAGGGTAAGGACATGGCCCAAGGAGCCAGGAGCCAGCAGGGATGGGGAGGGCTCCACTCTCACCTTGGGCATCCCCAGCACTTCCTCACTGAAGATCACACCTATGCTGACAAAAACCTTCTGAAGGTGGAGATTAGAGGAGAAATGAAATAGTTTGTTCATTTACAGGTGGAGAAAGTGAGGCTCTGAGAAAGACAAGTGACTTGTCTAGTTGGCCAGGAGTAGACTTGAGGGCAGTGCTAGTGTTTTCAAAGTATCTGTGATATTCATGTTAAAATCTGTTATTTCAGGTGGCGCCCATAGCTCAGTGGGTAGGGCGCCAGCCGCATACACCCAGGCTGGCAGGTTTGAACCCTGTCTGGGCCAGCTAAACAACAATGACAAATGAAACAAAAAATAGCTGGGCGTTGTGGCAGGCGCCTGTAGTCCCAGCTACTTGGGA